CGTCAAAGCGAACGCATACGAACAATATGCCGTAGCTTATAAGTTTCCAGGCTGCAAATGCCCCTGCATTAATGCAGTTCAGACCGCCCAAAGACTCAGAAATAGATGAGTTGCCTCCGGAGGGGAAGGGGAGGTGAGTAATGTTTCCCAGGCTGCCGCCTAAACTCTAAGGACAGATGAATAATTCAACTGCAGAGGTTTAAGGTTGCTGACCTGAGACATGAGCAGCAGAGATCGGGGACTGCTGGATGCCTAAATGACGGACAACAACCCTGTAAGCCGATATATTGATATCTCCCCCCTGCATCCCATGCACTGAACGCTAATTGCCAGGTCGTGTGACCTCGTTCCCAGCCGTGGTTGTACGCAGGCGAAAAACGGTGAGAAATAACCAAAAACAGTACATTGTTTACTTCTCCTACTTTGTCTTCGTTCCTGGCGCCTACACCGGTCTGCATTTCCATGCATAGTGAAGGACGGCTCTGGAATATAGCATTTACTATCTTAGTCACTGAGTAGATTCACTCCCTCACTTATAGACACTGGCGTTGCTGACTGAAAGTGTTTTAATTGTTACATAAACAATTTAGCGTAGAACAGGGTTTTCAAATAATTACCACTTGGCCAACATCTCTCTTGATATCGGAGAAATACCGGCGGAACAGCCGGACCTGGACCAAATTTAGGCGACGCAACTGGCGTTTTGAAACATACACAGATTGCGAATAAAGCGCATTTTCGATCACTTTTATAAGAAATGGTCTATACTCAAGAGGTTTTAAAATTATTTGGAAATGCTACTTTAGCCAGAAAGATAAGTTTTTTTTCCTGAAAAAGTAAATATAGGAGTTGTTGAAGTACGCATTACTGAAGATGAGAGAAACGGCTAGAGGTCATCGAAGATACAAACTACTGTGTCTTCCGTTTGATTCTAGCCTAATGTACGACCTTTATTTCACTCAGGAGATCAAACAATTATAACGCAGATTCCTAATAAATGAAGAAGCTTTGGACCCAGGATGATTTACGTCATCCCCATTACATCCGACGACAACGTAGGTATCTAATTACAATTTTTTTCATCTTTATTAATCGTAAGTTATTGTTCCCGGAGTTCCATTATCAGTATCTCAGAGGCGATATGAAAAGGAGACATATACATCCATACTACACAGCTTAAAAATCAGTGGACCCTGAGAAACCAACGCTGAATGAAGTGCTTTTAGCCGCCAATCTTGCTTGGTCGCAGTTGCATTGTCCATTTTATCAGACACATTTTCATCTATCATCTGAAGTTTTCATTCTTTTATAAAGTGAGCAGGGATTTTATCATCATATAGGCAACGTCAACTGACTAGTTGTCTCTATTTTTAAAACCGAGATTACAAAGTTATGCAATCTCCACTGATCCTCTATCAGTAACGCGTTCATCTATTGACGCCTTTATTAAGCATTTCGTTACATATTTGGTGTGAATTAATCACCGAAGGGAAACAAGCAGTAAGAATGTCCGCTCGATGAAACCTCCTACACCATGCCATAAATTTTCAGCAGAACTCAGTTCTGGCGGCT